AGCGCATGAAGTTCGCTCCGGTTCCGTTTCATTGTTGAACACATCGATAACCGTCTGGACAAGCATTGTGGATAATGGGAGTTGCGCCGGGTCAGTGACTAATTCCCAGTTCAAACATGTGCACCAATGCGGCTCGATGCCAGCCTGAATGCAGCATTCAGTTTATAGTTTGTGACTTCACAGTTTCTGCATTACCAGAAAGCGACACGACTACCTATCTTATGATGCTGTCTAACATAAATCATACAGAAAAGTAATGAACCACCAGCCAATTCAGGATTACAAAAAGAGCCGCCTTCCGGGGTGAAATTAACGGAAACTGCATCCATTTTAGAAAGCCCAAGAACGGGGAGAGAAAGAGAGGCGGGAGAGGGGAAAAAGGAAAGCGGCGATACCGCTTCGCTGGCCAGGACGGGCGGAAACTAAAATCCAACTCGGGTTTTAATATTTTCGAAATTTTGCGCAACTGAAAAAAAGGTACTGTTTTCTTGTTTAATAGTGATAGTGCTGCTATTTCTACCAATAGCCATGATTTTCAGAAAATCTGCGGTGGCCCCTTCGGCCGTGAGAAAACAATTATCCAAAATGTTTTTGGCTGAACCCTGAGACAACCCTAGCCTCAAATAGTACCAGCTTATGGCCAAACGAGTAGGCTGAAACGAATCAAGCCAGAACCTCCTCTTGCCGCTCAGTTTCAATGCTTCAATGAGAGGCAGGGACAATAGTAATTAGCTTGAGTAACAGCAATCACCCACTGGCAGGGCTGCCACAAAATCACCACAAGCTGTGACAATACTTTGGAATTCGGCACTGAACGACGAATTGGTTGGAAGGATGATCAAGAAAAGTCAAAACCACTTTCAGTATTCACTCTTCGTAAAAGACGCAGGCGCTCGGGAAATAGCCTGAGTGATTGCAATTGCCAACTGTAACTTTCTGCTGATGAGGCTGTCGATGGCCTTCTCTCTAAGATTTTGCTTACAAGCAAAACTGATGGCGAGTTTGACAGCTGGCATATGTCAGTACCAATTTACGATCGAAGCGAATTAATAAAGGGACTAATCGCTTCAGTAGGTAAGATGAAGGCTCGTTCTCCGACAAACTGTTGTCCGTACAACGACACACCGATGGCGTAAAAAGAGACTTCAGAGAGAAATAACATATTCTAAATTTATGCGGAATCCAAAAGATACATGTCTGCAAGTGCGGTTCGATGGTATTGGCCGAAAGAGGGACAGCGAACGCTTGCTCAGCTGACCAACTGTTTTCTGTTCTTCCACACTTGGCCAGTGCAGGATGTCCATTAGAGTTGAATGTATGTCAAATGGAGTAGTTAGCCTGCAAAATCAAAGATTAAAGTAGACGGTGAGGAAAACGAATTCCTTGACTATTGGTAACCAAGCTGCGCGAATTGCTTTATGTTCCTAAAAACTTCTGAGTATTAGAGATTCTTTGAGAGACTGTGATTTAAAATGCCAAACGTACGTTATACAACAAGTTATGGGCAAAACAATGCGGTAAATATCAGTAAACTCCATTACAAACGTGCTCCACTACAAGGTCTTGAGCAACGGATAGATAAGCGATAGACGTAAAGATTTCAAGAATCACAGATGAACTGGGCCACAAAACTGACTGTTGTTCCTAGCATAGCTGCCATTTCACACCAGACTAACCGCTCTTTGTTATTCTGAAGGTTCTTCCATGCTTCACGTCCCTTTTCACTTTCTCGAAACCACTTAGGTAGGGCAATCGCAAAAAACGGTAATCTTTCTTCTAGTTGTCCTGAAAATTTCCTTGGTAAGGTCAGCTTGCGGATACATTATTTTATTTCGTGTTGCTCAGCTTGTAGCTGATTTACAAAATCAATGCTGAGACGCACCAGGCTTGCCAATGCGATCATGGTATTTGCTAAAATTGACGCAGTTAGATCGTTAACAATATGAATGACTGCTGCTGTGCACTTTGATATGCGCACTTATAGCGTCCGTGTTTTGGTCTTTTCGGATGAATCAGTGGTGTTGGATTACGGAATTGCGTGAATCTTAACCTCCAGCATGCATGATTACCGTAAAATTTTGAATGAAGGGGTTGAACAGGGAACAGTATTTTCCTGAGAATGTCCATTATTCATGCGGAGACCTGCAAGCGAAAGATGGGTCTTTACTTCCGCATGTGCCCTGCAAAAGACATCAAAGTTCAATTTGCAGTTTTATGTCAACCTAATTTCTCGACATTCAAGTAAGAAAGAAAACTAAAATTTTATGAGAATTCTTGATTTTGTAAGGTACGAAAGTATTATGGCAGTTATTACTCATACTGACGTCTTGCATAGGGATATGGCAATTTTCAGCCGCAAGAACGCATTGCCTATTTAAAATACTGGCATTCATTGCA